CTGGGCTTTGAGAGAGAAGACAAAACATATGATTACAAATGCGGAGGCAGTTTGATAAGCGAAAATTTCGTTATTACAGCGGCACACTGTACCAATATAACGGGGTAAGCTCTGTGATATTTCACGAAAATGGGTGATTTTTGAATACAAAGAATAGTCGAAATGTACTTAGTCGTGTGTTGCGTTGCAGTTGCATATTATTTAATACACATGTATGTATGTATGCATATATATTTGCACTTTCGCAAAATTACCATGATTTCATAAATAGTCGTAGTACATATGTAAGTAATTTCCCACATTTCAGGGAAGTACCTACAATAGCACGAATTGGTGATATAAATCTTATGGTAGATGAAAAACATTTGGCGCCGCAAATATTTCCCATACGAAGAATATACACACATCCACAATATGACGGTGTTACTAATTACAATGACATAGCGTTGTTGCAGCTGAATACGAGCGTTGAGTAAGTAACTAAGCTGCATGCATACATATTTAGTCAGTAGCGATGGAACTTTCTTTAAATTCTTTCATATTTGCGCAACTTGCACGCAGATTTACTGAGTTTGTTCGCCCAATAAAACTTTGGACACAACCTAAATTACCCCTCATTACCGCCTTTGCCATGGGCTATGGCGCCACCTCATTTGCGCGTGCGCCAACTCAACAACTCACCGACTTCAATATGACTCTTATAGCGAATGATGAATGCAATCAGCTTTTGCCACAATTGGATGAGGTGCCGCGTGGCATAATTTCAAGTCAAATTTGTGCTGAAGATTTTGTAATGCATCGCGATACTTGTCAGGTGAGATACACTGGAGGAAAGTTGTATATACTCAAATTGCATTTTCGTTTTAATTGTCTTCCAGGGTGATTCCGGCGGCCCGTTGCAGTACAACATTAGAGGTAAACGACGCAGAAATCGAGTGCATTATCACTTAATTGGCATCACCTCGTTTGGGCTACTATGCCGCAGTCCAAATCCGGGTGTTTATACGCGCATATTTTCCTACCTTGATTGGATTGAGCGCACGGTCTGGAATTCGTCTTAAAGCTCAATGGGTTTAGACATAGTTTACGTAACTTAACTTAATTTAATATTTTGGCCAACCTGTTATATGTGAAAATGTGTGTTGGCGGTTAGTAAAAAGAGTACAAATACGAGTATGTAAAAATAGTTTTAGTGCTAAATAAAAGTCTATTTTAACTTATGAAAATACATAATTTTTGCCAAAAGATGCCTTTACACATATTTTATGTATACATTTTACCACAAAAACAAAATAACAGCAATTCGTTTCGGCCTGTTTGAAAACTTAAATTCAATTAAAATTATAAATTGTACAACATTTTACAATATACTACAGATGTGAAACGAACAACAATAAATAAATTTTTATACATTTTTAAAGTAATTGCCACCTGTTTAAAAATTAGAAATTAAATGAAG